TTTTTATTGATTTTGGAGAGGAAGGGAAAGGAAGAGAGAAAGAGAGAAACATCAATGATGAGAGAGAATCATTGACTGCCTTCTGCATGCCCCCATCCAGGATCAAGCCTGAAACTCTGGGCATGTGCTCTGACCAGGAATAGAACTGTGACCTCCTGGTTCATAGGTCAGTGCTCAACCACTGAGCCACACCGTCTGGGCAAGAATTTACTTATTTTAATTCGTTTCTTGTTTGTTTGCTTTCTTTTGAAAGTAACACATACTATAAATAATTTGTGAATTGATGTCAGTAGGAGAGGTATAGGGAGAAAAACAAGAAAGTAGAGGAGGAAAAATCACTAGCATCCCCAGGAATCAAACAACCATTGTGGACATTTTCTTGTGTTTCCTTCCAGTATTTCTTGCCTATTTTTAAACTTAAAAATTTGTATTTACTAAATTTTATATTCTCTTTTTCTTTCAACATTATAGCATATATTTTTCCATCATTACAAATTCATCATAATTACAGATGTTTTTGAATGGCTTTGAGATATTTCTTTGTACCTATGAAGTCAGAGTAGAAAAGGCTTAACCTGGTTGCCAGGTGCACAACTATAGCAGAAATTTGAAGCCCCATGAACCCAAGTGGCCTGAGAGGATGCAGAAGCAACCAGCTAAATCTCCTTTGACCTTGGCAACTGGAAAGCCATGTTCTAAAATTTGGGAACAAGTCAAAACCCACAGTCCTGGTTTCTGCCTAAAAGAGGATATTGTGTTGTCTCCCTCTCTCCCTCTCTCTCCTCCCTCCCTCCCTCCCTCTGTCCCTCACTCTCTCCCTCTCTCCCTCCCTCCCTTCCTTCCTCCTTATCTTCCCCCTATCTTTTATCCCTTCCCTTTTGTCTCTCTCTCTAGCTCCCTCTCCTTTCTCATCCAAGAGTCTCTCTTCTCTGCGCGTGTTCCATGCCTGCCATCCACCCCTGTAGGCACTGTTTCATCCCTGGATGGCCCTTGGGCTGACAACACACATGCATGCTGCCTATGCTCTGTCACAGGAGCAATTAAAAAACCAGCTCCAGACTTTCCCTTGAGAGGATCAAGAAGTTGTAGGCTAAATGCAGACAGAATGCCTAGTAACCATGGAAACACATGCATCTGGAAATCCCTGACCTTACACCCAAGACTCCACAATCTTGGCTCTGCCATACCTTGATCTCATGATTTAGGAATGAGGCTGATATGTCCATGTGGTATATCTTTCAGCCATAGGAGAGCAGCAGAAGAAGCTTTACAAATCACTGAGCTATTTATCTCTGTCCTCTGGGGATCTGGTAGGAGTGGAGAACATTGCTGATTCTAGGACTGGGGGAAGACTGGAACAGCCTTGAAGGCTGAGGCTGTGGAGTAATCCATTAGACATCAGAGAATATTGCTGCCTTCACATCAATTTGCTCATCCATTGCCCTTGCCAACTCTACACATACTCCCATGAATATGCCCACATTTGCCATTGCAGAACTGAAGAAATGCATTATTGGTTTTCCTCCCGACAAGAGGTACAACACAATTCACATGGCCTTGATTCCCTTGGGGTAGTGATGGGTTTAGTAGCACTAACTCTAGGAAATCAGTTATTAAGAATTTACTTATTTAAAAAAAATACATATTTTTTATTGATTTTGGAGAGGAAGGGAAAGGAAGAGAGAAAGAAAGAAACATCAATGATGAGAGAGAATCATCAGCTGTCTTCTGCATGCCCCCATCCAGGATCAAGCCTGAAACTCTGGGCATGTGGTCTGACCAGGAATAGAACTGTGACCTCCTGGTTCATAGGTCAGTGCTCAACCACTGAGCCACACCGTCTGGGCAAGAATTTACTTATTTTAATTCGTTTCTTGTTTGTTTGCTTTCTTTTGAAAGTAACACATACTATAAATAATTTGTGAATTGATGTCAGTAGGAGAGGTATAGGGAGAAAAACAAGAAAGTAGAGGAGGAAAAATCACTAGCATCCCTAGGAATCAAACAACCATTGTGGACATTTTCTTGTGTTTCCTTCCAGTATTTCTTGCCTATTTTTAAACTTAAAAATTTGTATTTACTAAATTTTATATTCTCTTTTTCTTTCAACATTATAGCATATATTTTTCCATCATTACAAATTCATCATAATTACAGATGTTTTTGAATGGCTTTGAGATATTTCTCTGTACCTATGAAGTCAGAGTAGAAAAGGCTTAACCTGGTTGCCAATAACCTGATATAACAATGTTTACTTAACTTTCTTTGTTTCTTGAAAATCTGTGTTGGTTCAACTTCCTATTATGCCTGTATATTCTCTTTTTCTTTCAACATTATAGCATATATTTCCCCATCATTACAAATTCATCATAATTACAGATGCTTTTGAATGGCTTTGAGATATTTCTCTGATATAACAATGTTTACTTAACTTTCTTTGTTTTTTGAAAATGTGTGTTGGTTCAACTTCCTATTATGCCTATCTGCCATGATGACTATCTCAGGGCATAGAGAAGAATTAGTACCTTGAGATTCTAATGTGTGTCAGTCCTTGGTTGGGTCCAGTGGGGAATATACAGGGTCCCTGATATCAAGGAATTGACAATCCAGTTTGAGAGGTAAAAACAGAGTCATGGGTCAGTCCTGAGCTCTTTCCTTTTGCCCTTGCAGATTGGTAAAGTGAAAGTATATATTATACACTGAATTTAAAAAGAAAAACAAAACCAAGATTACACACACACACACACACACACACACACACAGTGCAGGGCAAAAATAGGATTATTGGTACATATCTAGATTGACCTAGACTGAAAAGTAATTGTTCATAACAGTAAATGTCATGGGGAGATTAAGTTCAAACAGCAGTTGGTCAAATTATAATTTTAGTTTAGCCTAAATATCTGATAACTGATGATAAGCTATATATTTTCCCTCATTTGATTTAGATGCTGTGATTGAAGTTGATTTTTTTCATATATCCCAAAGTATATAAACATTCATTAAGGATGTGTTCATTACATTGCAGACAACATTGGTGGCTGATTATCTGAATCGCAGTTCTGATTTTTATGGGCCGATTAAGATCTACTTTCCCCTTGCTTTCATTTTCACAATCAAGTTGAATCTCATGGAAAAATATTCCAGAAAAGAGCTATGAAATTCATCAAACCACAGCAGATTAAAAAAGCATGTCATGATGGGGTGTGTGTGTGTGTGTGTAAGAGAGAGAGATAGGGTATTACTGCAGAGCAGGAGTGGAGGATACACAGAGAGTACCAAAGGAAACCGAGTTTGAAAGATGATCAGCATTGGGGGATGTTAGAATGAATGAAGTGTACATGCACCAGAAGCCAAGCCCTTCCAAACCCAAGTGTAGGAAGTGTAATAGGGACTTCTGTTAGACTTGCAGGGGTGGGGAAACGTCCCATCCTTGGGCTGTATAAGGCCCGTGAAATCATTTGGTCTGGCCCTGCCAAGGCATTAGGGGTGAGTTCATTAAATGTTTGGCCAAATATGGCAGGCTAATATTTAAGTTGATCATTTTGTCTGGCCCAAGAATGATGTTATAAATATCCAAATGGCCCTTGGCAGAAAAAAGGTTCCCCACTCCTGTGTTAGGGTCTTGGCAGAATGATTCAAGACCACGGATGCATCTGAACACTCCCTCTCCTCTTTCAGATCGATGATCCCAACAGCAACCTTGAGGAGATGACCAATGAGGCTGACGCCATCACCACTGTGGACAGTCTGGGAAGCAAGCAAGCCTTGACTACGGATTACCTGGATTCTGATTATCAGAGAGGACAGCTGTACCCGTTCTCCCTCAGCAGTGACTTGCACACGGCCACATTCGCTCTCACAAATGCAGCTCCAATGACCCAGACCTTCCAGGAACGGTGGTACATGAATCTGAACAGCCTCATGGACCGGGCCCTGACCCCACAGTGTGGAGGTGGGAACGACCTATACATCATCACAGGCGCCGTGCCCTCAGACGTCAAAGTCAAAGACAAGGTGACCATCCCTAAGTTTGTTTGGCTGGCAGCCTGCTGCGCTGTCCCCGGAGGAGGCTGGGCCATGGGCTTTGTCAAGCACACCACGGACGGTGATGTCATAGAGGATGTGATGGTGAAAGAACTGGAGAAACTGCTGCCGTCTAACCCTCAGTTGTTCCAGAACAACTGTGGTGAAACAGAACAGGACACGGAGAAAATGAAAAAAATCCTGGAAATGGTTAACCAAGTCCAGGATGAAGAGCGGATGGTGCAATCTAAAGAAACCACTAGTGCCCTCCCCAGCACCAGGAGCAAGAGGTCTGCTCTGCAGCCTCCAGAGGCACCCGAGGAAAGGAGTAGCTTCCTGGGGAATCTCGTGGGCTTCATCGCTACCCCGTTCATCAAGCTTTCCCAATTAATTTGCCACCTTGTGGTAGGCATCCTGAAGAACACTGTGTATGTCCTGTGGTATGTCGCCAAGCAGGTGATTAATGGCATAGAAAGTTGCCTTTACCACCTGGGTTCAGCCACTGTCTCGTACTTCTTGGCCATTGGGGAAGAGTTGGCAAGCATTCCCTGGAAGGTACTCAAAGTCATAGTCAAAATCATCAGGGCCATTCTCCGGATCCTTTGTTGTCTGCTGAAGGTGGTTTGCCGCATTCTGGGCATCCCTGTCCGCGTCCTTGTGGATGTGGCCACTTTCCCTGTGTACACCATGGGCGCCATTCCCATTGTGTGCAAGGACATTGCAGTGGGCCTCGGTGGTGCCATCTCTCTGCTGTTTGACACTGCTTTTGGCACCATGGGTGGCCTATTTCAGGTTGTCTTTAGCGTTTTCAAGCGAATTGGCTACAAGGTTACTTTTGAAAATTCTGGGGAGTTATAGAACTCAAAAAACAAATATTGGCCAGTCACAGTAAATTTGATTTTTTTTTTTTAAATAGAGAAGGCTGGAATACTTTGTACAATGGGTCTTTGTTCACTCTCAACTATCATTAATTTTGGCCTTTCATGGGGATGTCTGTATGCTTTTGCAAAGGAAGATGGTGCACTTTAGACTTGACCCTAGAGAAATGTTCAGGGTAGGACTGCGTGTAGGTCATCTGATATGAAATGAGCAAACTTCTAAACCATAACCTTTAGTTATTTACTCTGATACAGATGACCAGCTGAGACATTCTGGTGTTCATTAAAATTCTACAAGAGGGGAAAATTAGAAAGAGGACAACTTTAAACCCAAGGGTTTCTGAGACGATGAGAAAGAAGTCTTGTTCCTCCTATTACTCTCTGAGATTCAAGGCAAAACTGGTATAAATATTCTTGTCCAATGTGTCTTTCGCTTCTCTTTCTCCTCAACTCAGCCGACCTTGGTGAGGTGCGGACATGCTTCCCTGGTGAAATAGCTTTCTTAGGGTATAGAGTCTGCTAGATCCCTTAGCTTTCTGTGGCTTCCAAGGACCTTTAAGATTTTTTTTTTCTCCAGAGTTGAATTTTGCTGAATTTTTCTTTTATGTAATGATAAACATTTTATGCCAAAAAGGGCATAACAAACTTTGAATGCAAGGGCAAAGATGATTTGCCCCTTGAACAGTGTAGGACAGTCTTCTTGGGTATAAAGAAGAGGGCACCAGGGTCAGAGCCCAGCTCTGAGTAAGTGCTGTAGGTCCCAGGACATCTCTAGCCAAGCTTGGACTAATTTGAAATATATTCAATATCTGGCTGACAAGATTGAGCTCAAAGACCTACATGTTAAGCTACTATGAAAATTCAAATTCTGCAACATACTAGATCAGTCTTTCTTATACATCAAGCAAATACCCAACACAGTAAAACACATTGACTTCTGTCCTTAAATGATTGTTTTGGTATAAATGTATAGAAAAGAGCTACCGAACAAAAACTATTCTAGCCGTCTGGAAAGTTTACATATGTATAAACTTGATTAAGAATTCTCTCTTAGACAATTATTTTTATAGTGTGTTTGAGGCTAGAAAACATCACTCTCCCATTAATGCAAATGGATCTGAGAGCTAATCCCCAGTGTTTTGATCAGACACTTGTCATTTTGAATATTGCACTGAAAACGGTAAGAAGAGGAAGCAGAATCTCCCAAACTTTGCTCTGCCTTCCACAGCTGAGAATGAATGGTCCGGATTTTTCTAAGTGTTCTAAAGAGTTGCTGTGAGGTAAAAAAAAAAAGCCAAGTGTAAAATACTGGTTTTGGGGGCACAGGCCACCATTCATCTGAAAGTCAGATGCAGAAACCTGGGGTCCAGAAAGACAACAAGGAGAAAAAGATGGGTCAACTATTTGTATCGGGTTGGTGGATGAGAAACGTGAGTGTAGTGAGTTACATTTTGCAGAAAAATCATTGAATTCGACCCAAAGTAGAAGAGCAGCCAGCCAGCTGGCATCCTGATCAATTCGTGATGCAAGGTTGGGGAGTATGACCCCGACTGGTCCATGATAGGGAGCTATGAACTCAATTTAAGACTCTTAAGTAGTATTTCACCAACACTTCTGTTTGTGAGCATTAACACCCGTGATTGCGCTGCTCTTCATCTCAGCAGTGTGAAGGTACAGGGAAGGGTGAGGCTGCTAATGGGTCAAGAATCCTGCCGGATGAAAGAAAGAGAATCTTAGGCGTGACCAGAGAGATAGTCTGGTCAAACCTTCATTTGACGAGGAGCCTGAGGCACAGGGAGGTAACAGGCTTGCCTTCAGTTTCACGGCTACCTGATGGCGTATTAGGAACCACGATCTTTTGCACACGTCCCATCACAGCTGGAATGTCAGATATGTGGTGTGTGTGGTACTATTCAGCTGCCTCCCTGGACTATGGCAGAGTTTTCTCATCATCCATCAAACAGACTTATCAGTTGGACATGCCTATGTGGTGACGCTATTGGCCATCCATGCACAGCATCATGCTTACCGCCTCCCACAGGCTCTGTGTTCCTTCATAGTACATATCTGCAAACTGAAAGGCCCAAAGAGGGCAACCATGGCAGCTTGAGCCCCTTGGCACCATGCAAGGAGCAGGGCATCCACACTGCTTCTTGAGGGCCATTTGGAAGTGTCTTCTGTTTCATGGCTTGTTTAATGTTGTATTTATTTATTCTTGCATGGCTTCTTTTGAAATTTGTGAAGGGATAATAAAGCAAAAATATTCTTACGTTTGGGTGGCTGAGACTCTGCCCTGGACCACTAGCGATGATGTGCCTCTGGCTCACGGGCACAGGGACCCAGCACGTGGCTGGACTGCTGGTCTGCTCCCAACCAGCTACTTTGGGTTTTTGAGGTGGGAGTTCGGGTTGATTAACCCCATCTCTGGCTTGGAGATTTTTCCGTGGCTCTGTTACGTTCTCAGGCCCTTGGGGAAGTCAGCCACCTATTCATTATGAGGGAGCTGATTTTCTAGCGTGTGGACTAGCCACACTTGTGGACACTCCTTTTCCATTGTGCCTTTTGAATGTTGGCTTCTCACTCGGCATTAACACTTCCACTTATATGCAGACCAGGGAGTTTGGAGGAGGAATTAGAGTGAAGCGCTGGTCATTCATTCAATCATTCATTCATCTATCCAATATGTATTTGAACATCAAGGTTGCAGAGATAAACACTACATGGATCACATCTTTGAGGAGTTAAAAAATCTAGTAGGGAGACCACCTGGTACAACTGCATGGTAAGTGCTACAGCAAAGGTACTAGCAGCCGGTCCCTGGGGCGCGGGAGGAAAGACCACAGAACCATGGAAATCCGTGCCGCCTTTAGGGAGGGTGTGACAAAAGCCAATTTGACATTTTCAAGCTATGTACAATGCTGTGCACCTTGCAATGCTCAATAAAGTAATTGTTGACAACTCATTGGCCATTGTGTGAAATGTCTGAAGGGGGAGAATTCTAATGGTTGAAATGAGGTTTGGGGATTATCTGTGATTTTTATTTTTTTCCATTTCTTGATCCACTCAAGCAGTTTCCACTTACATTGGCTTTGTGCCTTTCCCACCTTCCCCCTCCCCCGCCCTAATTTTGAATTCTATGTGGGGAAACAGAGAGAAGGTTAGATCAGTGAAATAGGCTTAGAACTGCGTTTCAGTGTTGTTTTTCTGAAAGCTATGTGGCATATGAAGTGTTTGTGATTCGTCCTTCATAAATAAGCACCGAAGGCATATAGCTTCACTGATCTGAATCACAAGGGACATGATAGAAACACTCAATTATTTCTTTATTCATTAGGACACTCCCACAGCGTTAGAAATAACAATCTCTGCAGGGGGCGCTGTCTTCTCTGTGGCCTTTGGTAGGGCCCTGCTCTGGGGGGAGGTGGCAGTAGTTCTTGGCTGCCTTTCCAGTGAGAGCAGGGTCTTATGTGTGACTCTGTCCCATTCAGCATTTCCCTCAAGTTCACCACACAATAGGCAGGTTTTAGAGTTACACCATGAGCAATACAGTGTGGGCTCCTTGACTGTCACAAATGGGTTCTCAGATTTCACATTATCTCTTTTTGTAGATATCCCCCATGGCCCCCTCCCCCCAGATAATGGCTTGATTTCTAACAATTACGTCCAAACCAATTACAGATGATCCTTGAACAACACTTTTTTTTCAATAAATACCTGTACTGTGTATGGTCTGCAGTCAGGAATCTGAGGATGTGGAGGGCTGAATGTATGCATTGTCTACACCGTTTTATATAGGGGACTTGAACCTCCACAGATTTTAGTATTCGCAGGGAATTTTGGGACCAATCTCCTCCGGATACCAAGGTGGGACTTGAACCTCCACAGATTTTAGTATTCGCAGGGAGTTTGGGGACCAATCTCCGAATACCAAGGGACAACTTAAGTTTTGGGGGAGTCAAAAGTTATATATGGCTTCTCAACTGCTTAGGTCAACTGTATTTTTAAGCTTAAATTTCAACAGAGTGCTGACAACCACTTGTCATTGTTTTTTTGTGTTGAGTCCACAGTGAGATGCTCTCAGGAGATGGACTCCTAGAGGTTTCTCCTGGAGGCAGTATCGCCTAATGCTCAAGACCCAGGCTCTGGAGTCAAAAGCACTTAGGCCTGAATCCTGACTTTGCCTGTTACTAACTGTGTGGCGAAGTGGGCAACTTACTAACTTGGGCAAGTTACCACCCAAAGCCTTTGTTTCTCCATCTGTAAAATGGGGCTAATTATTAGCACCTACTTCAGAGGGTTATAAGAATTCAATAAGTTAATGAAGATAAAGCATGTAGTGCCATGCTTGTCACATGGTAAGTGCTCAGTGAATGTTAATTATTGTTGCTGTAGCTGTTGTTGGTAATAATATCCACACATCTTGGATGAAATTGGCCGTCCTTGGATCGCAGGATGTTTCTAGATTAGAGCTGGGAAGGTTCAAGGTTAAGGTACAGTCTGGGAGTTGAGGTCATGAATGAAAATAAAGGAATCTAGCGCCTCATCAGTGGTGTCAACATACTGAAGAAATAGGTGAGGGTTTGGCCCTAGACTCTAGAAAAATGAGGCTGTGGGAACAGGACCTCAACCTGTTTCCAGCACCATTCAGGAAGGAAGGCATGAGCATTTCCAGTCTCTCAAATAGAGCGCTTTTTCCCTCCAGGCTTCTTCCTTGCTGAGTTCACAGCCTTACAACAGACTCAGCTTCCTAACAATCCTATTACTTAGAAAGAGTGAACTAGACAGAGTATTTACATTTTAGCTGCTGAAAAGAATTATGGGCCCTACTGTAAATAGTCATTTTTCTTTATTCTCCAGCCTTTAATGAATTAAGGCATTACAAATTAGTGTCCAAAGACGAATTGATCCTGGGTATTGACAAGGTAGAATTGTTGGAACCCATGGTTGACCCCTAGGGCCTGTACTAGACTGATGAGCCACCTACCACATGCTCACTAGGTTCAGCCTCCAAGAGGCCCTGCCTGCTGTCCTCGGTGCCATCCGATCTGTAATACCTACATCCAAAGCAGATGCTGACAACACATTTTGCCTTTGCAGACGTGAGTATAATATAAAACTGCCTGCTATCCTGAAGACTGCATAATAATTTTTTAATAATAAGGGATTATTTTTACAATGAAGAACCCATACTAATCAGATGAACTGAAAGATGATTTTGATGATGATTAAGAAATAATAAGGGGTCTACCTATTTTATGTGTCCTGACTTGACCCACTTAATGGATCACCCTGGTTCAAATATTAAAAGAGTCATGCTGGTCCGGCTGATGTGGCTCAATGGTTGAGAGTCGACCCATGCATCTAGAGGTTGCCAGTTCTATTACCAGTCAGGGCACATGCCCAGCTTGGGGTGTCAGTTCCCAGAGAGGGGCATGCAGGAGGCAGCCTATTGATATTTCTCTCTCATCCATGTTTTAATCTCTCCCTCTCCCTTCCTTTCTCTCTAAAATCAGTAAAAAAAAACAAAAACCCACACAAACAAGCAAGCAAACAAACAAAACATTTAAAGCTGGGGACAGTGAAATAAGAAAGGGCTTAGTATAGAAGACACAACAGGGGAGCCTAGGCTGGTCTGCTTTGTCTCTTTTAAAATGTTATAGCTGGTTTGGCTCAGTGGATAGAACGTCAGCCTGCAAACTGGAGGGTCCCAGGTTTGATTCCAGCAAGGGCACATGCTCAGATTGCAGGCTTGATCCCTAGTGTGGGTGTGCAGAAGGCAGCTGATCAAAGATTCTCTCTCATCATTGATATTTTATCCCTCTCTCTCTGAAATCAATAAAAGCATATTTTAAAAAAATAGAAAGAGACGGGCAGCAACAAGGTGGTATCGCAGGGCAGCACCAAGGGCAGCCACGTGCTGCACACGTTCCGTGGTTCCATGGGAAAGCTCAGCGGCAACTGTGCAAGGGCGAGTTTGCCATGTTCAAGTGCATTCCCATGTTTGAGAGCAACTTCATCCAGATCAGCAAAAGAGGAGTGACCAATGTGCACAACAGTGTGCAGATGGTCACTGGGCATCGCAGACACCAGCTTAAACTCATAGGACCTGATGTCCAGCTGTTGGCATGACACCCCTGGAAGGGGATTCAAGTCAGTGAGGAGATTGGAGCTAAAGTGGCTGCTTCCTTGGAAGTTTGTCAAGTCCATCTATAGCAGTGGTTCTCAACCTTCTGGCCCTTTAAATACAGTTCCTCATGTTGTGACCCAACCATAAAATTATTTTCATTGTTACTTCATAACTGTAATGTTGCTACTGTTATGAATCATAATGTAAATATGTGATATGCAGGATGGTCTTATGCGACCCCTGTGAAAGGGTCGTTCGACCGCCAAAGGGGTCTCGACCCACAGGTTGAGAACCGCTGATCTATAGTCATGAGAAAAAAACAGCTTCACTTGAAGCTTGCAGCACTGGCCATTCTTTTTATCTACAATTATCCCCCCTTCAGAGCAAAAGAAGATGTGTTTGCACACTGGGAAGGCCTGGTGTTCTTCCTGAGACCGCCAGCCAGGGCTTACAGCGGTCCCTGAGCTGTGCCAGCTTGGGACGTGATGGAGGGACCTGTGTTGGAGGCTGGGGACAGGAAGAGCCCAGCAGTAAGCTTTTGCAGAGACACTCAGCGAGGGGTCCAAAGGCTTCGGAAGAGCAACTGAAGGCTCTCCGGCTGCTCTCCTAGGCTGCCTGGGGGAACATTGCACGTAGAAGGGCTCAGGCCAGATGAGCCACTATGTGGAGGCCTTACCACACTGGGAGGTCTCAAGGGCATCTAAATATCCGAGGTCCCTTAGATGTCAGCTCCTCTGTCCCCATACCCGATGTTGTCATGCTGTCAGCAGCAGCCTGATGGCCACAACCGTTTAAGGGTGATTTTGTGCCTTGTAATTTTCCTTGCTCTATCAGTAACCCAATCTCTCTTGTTCCATTCAACCTTGAGGCCTGTTGAGCCACGGTCCAGAAACTGTCTATTTAGTTTTCTAGTGTATCGCTCTGCAGAGATAAAATTGAGTCAGCTGAAGAACCTATACTTAAGGAACTCAGGGTCAAGTTGACTCTCTGATCCATCAGCTCATCAAAGTGTCCTTATTTGCTTACACAGTCCCAGAACAATGTGACCCTGGAGAATTATTCATTTATTACCAGTTACTGTTGTGTTGTGAAGAACGAGAAGATGGATGAAAAGTGCTTAGCCCATTGCTGGGCACAGAGAAAGAGCTTTCTAAGTCACCTCTGTGATGCAGCAGTGTGTGAGCATCCTGCCTGCTTCCCGACTCCCCTGGCAGGCTGCTGGGAGGAGGGTGTGATGCTGTTGCAAATGCTCACATGCCACAGCCCCTTGAGCCATGTTCCTGCCCAGAGAAATGTTGGCTCTACCCTACCCAGGGCTTCACCTCCAAGCTGTTGGCCTGGACAAAGAAGATTCACACACATCTGTCTCTAGCACATTTACATAAGGAATGAATTACTCACTGTGAGAAGTTAGACATTGTTCAGGCATTTCTCCAAATGCTAACATTATGTAAGGGCATGATAGTGCCTTTTTTTTTTTTAAGAAGGATGAGTAAAAAATCAAAGTTAGGTGGTTGATTTTAACCAAGTCAGTGAAAAGAGAAAAAAACAAACCACAAATCAACTGTTCAATAATGAGAAACTATGTCCATCCACCCCCACTGGGGGAGGAAGTGTTTTGAATGTAACAAAAATGCAGCCAGTCAGTAAAGAAACTCCAGGATCTATTTTGATTGTTTTTTAAAGTATGTTTTTTATTGATTTTTTTTTTTAGAGCAAGAGGAAGAGAGAGGAATAGAGGGATAGAAACATTGATCAGAGAGGAACATAGATCGGCTGCCTCCTGCACGCTCCCTACTGGTGATTTAGCCAGCAACCTGGGCATGTGCCCTGACCTCTTGTTTCACAGGTCGATGCTCAAACACTGAGCCACACTGGCTGGGCTGATTTATTTAAATTACTGAAAAATGTAAGCAGATCTTATCCCTGAAAACTATTTTATTCCTACCATTCATCACACACATATTCTTTCCCTTGAGTATCTTAGTCAAAGAGTTTATCCCTCTGTCCCAAGAGTAGACAAATCCTCCCTAACTCCCCCAAGAGAGGTCCCCGTTGTCTCTGAAGTTCCTGGAACCATTCCTTCCTCTGCCAATTGCAAAGCTCTGCCTTTCCCCATCAATGTTTCTTTTTCTTCTGACTTCCTGTATTTTCCTCCAGAGGAAAGTCTCCGTGAATTTGTATAGCCCTCTCCTTACAGCTGATTAAACAGAGTCTCTCCCCTTTCCCATTGTATGAATATCTTGTAGCAACACAAATACGATAAATTGCTAAATAAAAGATTCCTTAGCTGTGTTTTATATGAACTACAATTGCAGTCATGCAGAGAAACAATACAGATGAATAAGTGGTAACATTTTCAAACAAGGAGGAAGAGGATGAGGAGGAAGGATCTGACTTATGGCTAAAGGCAAACTGAAGGCAATGAAACAAACTTCAGTCTCTTCATGCAAATTGCTCCTGCCCCCCAATACCTGTGGGGACTGGGCCTTGCTCCTCAGCAGGAGAGTGGGGCTGGGAGAAAGGGGCCCCATTCACGAGGCTGGTGCTCTCTCTGGTGCGTCATCCTGCCCTTCTGTTTCTCAAGAGTAGAAATCAAGAGCTTTCTCAAATGTGATACAGAACTTAGGTTTACCATTTAAAATAACACTCTCCCCCCTAGCTTTGTGTGAAGCTCATGGTTTATGAAACATCTCTAAAGGTAATCTTCAGGAGCCATAAAACGGCGATGTGTAGGAACCATCAGTTGGCTCCTGAACTACTTGGCTGTAGTGAACTCAAAGTGAACTCTTCTGGGGTTTTCAAAAACTGGTTTCACCCACTTATTAAAAACCCAGCCTATTAAAAACGCAGGGTTGCGTGTGAAGCTTGAGGAAGCTTATGCTGGTCATTTTCTCTGCTGCCATTGTTTATAACAAACTTGAATTAAAGGCATCTTTGTCATTTTTTTTTTTGAACCCACACATAATGCGATGCGTTTTTGGATTGTTGTTTTCTTTTTCTTTTTTTTTTAATCTTTTTTTTATTGCTTAAATTATTACAAAGAGTATTACATATTTCTCCTTTTTTTCCCCCTGCCCTTGACAATCCCCTGCCTCCCCTACCAGTTTGACAATCTGTTTGAGGCAGCTCTGCCTCTGTATCTATTATTGTTCAAAAGTTTGTAATGGTCTCTATTATCCATGAATGTGTGAGATCATGTGGTATTTTTCCTTCATTGACTGGCTTATTTCACTTAGCATAATGCTCTCCAGTTCCATCCATGCTGTTGCAAATGGTAAGAGTTCCTTCTTTTTTACAGCAGCATAGTATTCCATCGTGTAGATGTACCACAGTTTTCTGGGCCCCGGTGATGAATAAGATCCAGCTGCTGCCCTCAAAGAGCCTGCAGGCTGGGGTTCAAGTGCCAGGTGAAGCCCACCTTCCTGGACCAGAGTCAGCTTGAGCAGGGATGGGTAAGTGGATGTGCAGACAGCTGGCTGCAGGATATGGAGCAAGAAGGAAAAGAACCCAAGGACTGCCACTCAAAATACAAGTCGGTACACAGAAAATACATACCAGAGTTGGCCGACAGTGAAATAACTCACCCCATTCAATGCGGGGAAAATGTGTCCCTCTCCTCTGAAGGTATTACGCTGTGCAGAAACCATCCCTGTGTTTGCCCCGGCACTGGACGGCATCGTAATCATCTCCGTCAGCATTTCCATTCACTACACTTCCTGGCACAGAGCAGGGTTAATAAATAATTGTTGGAATAAACAAACATTCAAGAAGGAATGTCCTCACTGGGTAGAAGGTTGAGCTAGGAGAATTCCAGGATTCTTTTCTACTCAGAGATTTTATGATCGTATAGAGAGCCTGACATGTGACAAGAGCCTCGCACGTGATGCCTGTGTAGTATTGGGGTTATTTGTACCCAGGTTTTATCTCCCCATATAATTAGCACATCCTTTTCTGCAAATGCAGTCATATTTACCGAGGACTATGTCAATCAATGTGCATGCATTATCTGATTCAATGTTTACAACGACCCCAGGAGGCAGTGTTTTGGTTTCTATTGCTGCATGACTACCATTGGCTGAGCTGCTTCAGTGGCCCAGGTAGTTACACACTATATAGAGACACATTTAATCCTCACAATAATATTTTTCCCCAGATGAAAAGTGAGACTTAGAGAGGTTAAATAACTTGCTTAAAGTCACTCAACCACTACATGCTAGAGCCAGGATTTTACCACAGGTATGTCTCAGTCCACGTTCCAGGCTGCTCCATGCTGTAGGTCAGGCTCAGAAGCAGACTCTGGGATGAGATTGACATGAAGGAAGTTAATAAGGAGGGCTCAGGGGCAGCACCTGTGGGGGAAGTGAAAGACACAGCACTAGGCAAAGCAGAGGGTGGGCTGTGATACAGTCAGAGCAAAGAGCTCAGCAGGCCCATGAGAGCTTTGAAGCTGGGGTAACCCTTCAGAGTTGGCTGGAATAGAGGAAGGGGTCTGGAACTTTATTACCAAAGCCCTGTGTCCCCAGCAGGCATCACAGTCAATAGTTGCCATATAAACAAATGGACCAAGCAATCCATCCAGATGGAAGTGTGAAGGGAGGCAGCATTGCAGGGGGAGGGATGGCTTCTGCGTAAAGGCAGCCGGCCTAGCTCTGGCCCAGGAGGGGCTTTCCTGAAGAATGCTAGACTGTGCGGGGCCCTGACTCCCAGGCAGTCCTCAGGAGAAGCCAGATCTCTAAGCTCGAACAAAGAGCTAGATGAACAGTGAGTCCACTCTATGACCTGCCCAAGGAGCCCTCAGCTCAGGCTGGTACATTTTTAATGTTGTTGAGTTTAGGCATGGCCGCAAAGGGAATCAGCTTACAGTATTGAATTTATTTGCTCTAGGATTCAAAGTGTGATCACACACCCAATGAGGAGTTCCTTAAAGTAAGTAATTCAAGAGCTATTCACTCATAGAGGCCAGTGGTGGGGTATTATCAGCTGAAAGATGTTAAGAGCCAATCATCACAACAGTCATCTTCAAGGGGTGGTGTCCAAAGAGGGAGGAATGAATCAAAGACCCGCACATTTCCCACACCCATTCCACAGGTCTGGGCCTGATCCAGCCTCATCTTTAGTCTCTATGGAGAACGGGAGGAAGGAGAAGCAGGGAGAATTGGAAATCCACAAGGAAGAGGAAAAGATGAGATGACTTAAGGAAAATAGGACTAATGTATTGAATATGTTTATCTCATTTAATCCTTATCACAACCCTATAAATTACTCTAATGATAAGCTTTTCAGATGATGAAATTGAGATTCAAAAGGACTAATTGAGATACCATGACTATGGGAAGAAACAGGGGAGGGAAGAAGAAAGGGGTGAAGGGAGAAAGGAGGAAACTAGAGTTGGGTACATTTATCAGAAAAGGGGACATTTTAAAAATTGATTTTGAGAGGGAGTGGGGAATAGAGAGAGAGAGAGAGAGAGAGAGAGAGAGAGAGAAACAGAGAAGCATCGATTTGTTGTTCCACTTATTTATGTATTCATTGGTTGCTCCTTGTGTGTGTCCTGACTGGGGATTGAACTCACAACCTTGGCGTATCGGAAAGATCCTCTTGCCAACTGATCTACCTGGTCAGGGCCTAGGGGACAATTTTTAAAATGTCACTAAAACATATTAATGCTGACAGAACCATGCTTCCTCCATCTGCACTCAAACTGAGAAACCAAAAGGCAAATCAGTCCCTGAACCCTTAGTCCTCATTCTACCTCCCTTTCTCCTGTCTAAATATCTCCTGATTCTGCTGGAGGTGCCCAAGGACCTTTGATGGACTGTCTTTCCAGAGGTATTGACATGTGATGACAGGAATCGCTTTTCACTTTATTTCTAATACAATTTTCAACAAGAAATGAACACTTACTGAGTACTTCTTATGCATCAGGAACTTTCAAATATGTTATTTCATTTACTCTTCACAACAACCCTGTCAAGACAAATAGTGAGGATTTCTTCTGTTTATGGAGGGTGAATCTGAAGTTCAGAGAGGTTGAGTAACAGCTGGTGTAAGAACCAGGACTCTAAGCCAGGCTGGAGAACACACTTTTCACCTGACCCCCCTGCCTCAAGGTTACTAAGGTCTGTGAGTTGTATGAATATTGCCCTGGCTTTGCCTTTGGTTGATCCAAACATTCAGGGTCCATCAGGGCTTGTAAATTTTGCATGGATCAGTTACCCCAGTCCTGGGCATTTTATTTTTGTTTAATTAACTCAATTTATTTGATGATTCTTGGTACCTATATAGCATACAGGCCTCCCTCAAATAAGTTAAACTTCCCATCTATTCTGAGTCTTTGGCAGGAAGAAGTGGTCACAGCCAATGCAAATAGAGGAGGAGTGCAGGAAAGGTGAGGGGTGAGAGAATTTTGTAATGTATGGAGCTGTGAGTACAAATGTCTCATTTTTGGCCTCCCCACCCCCTAAATAACCAGCACCCCCAAGGAGTCATTCAGTCTGTACTTTTGGTCTGTGGTCCCATAGTGACCCCACAGCCTGTGCACTTGGCAATCATTGTTGGTCTGGGACTGGCTCTAGCCTGTGTGGACAACTATGGATGCTGCCAATAGTTCACTGGGGTGGGGGGGGGGTGACCATTATCCACTGCACCCTGAGGCCCTGACTTTCTGCAGAGTGGAGGGGAGGGCACAGGTCCTCCCAGGTTCTGGCAGTGCATTGAGGGAGGGCTGGCAAGCCAGAGCCCAGCCTGGTGTGTGTGTGTGTGTGTGTGTGTGTGTGTGTGTGTGTGTGTGAGAGAGAGAGAGAGAGAGAGAGAGAGAGAGAGAGAGAGATTGATTCTGGAGGCACACCCAAGTAGAAGGCACTGTCCACTCTGAACCAAATGATGAGGCAAGGGCCATATAAGTCAGGGCCCCCCCAAACAGTCATCCTGTGGCCCTAAGTGTTACCATGCAACCAAGGATGAGGGGGAGAAGGAGGAGGTGGGAAAATGTTATTTACTGCGGCATGTGGGAAAACTGGAGTCAAGCAAATGCCAGCCAAGTTTTGGATGGTCTAGAAAAGGAACCGTGTCAAAGTGTCATTAATCCTCAACCCTGGGCAATGGAGAGAAAATATGTGTTCATGTCTCTATGGTATGTACATATGCATCTGTAATTTCTCTAAAGCAGCGCTGGGCTTGAGACCCCCTCTGCCATTTACCAATCATGGGACCTTCACCAGGCACACACCTCACTGCGGGTAATGGTTGCTCTGGACCAGCTGTCAGGCAGTTCAGGGCCGGCACCTGCTCAGAGCACAGGAAGGTGCCCTTCCCCTGCACTCCCTCCCAGCGACTGGGAAGGGCGCTTAGCTTCCTTCCCGCTGACCTCCAGCCAGTGCGGCTCCCGGCTGTCTTTGGCTCCAGGGAGCCCTGAGTGTGGAGGGACAGCACCAGGACCATGGTGTGTGTGTGTGTGTGTGTGTGTGTGTGTGTGTGTGTGTGTGTAGGGGAGGGGATTGGGCGACAAAGGGGCTTTGTTTGGGAAGGGCTGGCTGGCCAG